CCCCCCCCCCCCTGCATGGGTATACGAATGTTGACAATGAAGAAATAGATTTTGCATGAGTAATAGTGGAGGAGAAACGACAAATACAAGATCTAAATAAATACCCTCTAATATAAATAAATTGAGTCTAGTTCGGGTTTCGTCCTGTAGTTCCTAGTCACAAAGGACCATTAAACCTCTGTGAGAACACGCAGTCTACTGCAAGGGTGGTCAAAGGGGGGGGGGGGGTCGGATCATGTTTCAGGAAAGCAAATGCATTTTGAATGTGTTATAGTTGAAGGGGGTCATGGAAATTAGTATGTCTTCAAAATCTGTACTAGGGATTTTTGAAAAATATATCAGGCGGAGGATTCTCCAAAAATTTCTTGCGAAATAATATTTTTTTGGCCAATTCCTGCGTTGGAAGCATGTTTATTGTCTATGGTTTAGATGGTCTATTGTTTAAATAGAAGGTTTATGGTTTACATTTACTTGTAAAGGTCAGTGGTTTAAACCCTAGGCCACCCTAGTTATATCTGGATTATATATAAAACTATACAAAATTTCAAAATCCTTAAACTTTTGTGTTAAACGAAGTATTGCCCTAAAGTAGACCGCTGGAAATGTAAGGTTGCATGCTCAAATCTCTCACATGGAGAACAATTTTAAAACAACAACATAGAATTACATTTTATAGTCAAGTTTAGACGTTGGAAAATGGTAAAAATAAGAAAAGTGAAGAAAAAAAACTGGGCTAAACGGCAAAGCTGTTCATCAAATCCCTCGATTAAGTCACACAGAGATGCCGCAAGGCGTGGGTTTAGACATGAGTGCCAGGCAGGATCAAGTCTTACGGTTGAAGCACTGGCAAAACACAACGACAATATAGACGATGAAGACATTGTTTTGGACGATGCTGAGACCACGGGGAGGTCTATGGCTACTGTCAGTATTAGCGGATTGACAGATTGTTCTAACCCAACATTTTCTGGTGTTTTGAAGAGGTTTTGGCAGTCACCTGGGGCTAACCATCAGGAAGTAAGGAGTAAAGCTTATAGACCCATTGCACTGACGTCACAAATCCTTTATAGAGTGTCCTCCAGATGCTCCCTAACTATATCTGTTCGGGTACAACAACCACATACAGCGCAAAAATTAACCATTTTAATACAAAATTATTATAAACTTTTACAAATTTGCTTTGTTTACAAAAGTTATATTATTCATACCCTGTGAGCAAAGTCCTCTTGTATTTCTTCCCGGCACGGCACAGAGAAGCGAGAGAGACTCAGCAGAACTTGTGTATAAATTCATTTGAGCATGTGCTATTAGGTTGCTAAGCAACTGCCTATTTCCCAGAAGAAGATTTAATAAGTAGTTTCCGGTTCGGATCAAAACCGGTTATAAAACCGGTATCAACCTGAAATTACGCATAATTATCCAAGTTTTTGGATTGTCAGCTCCACAAAGAACATACACAAGTTCTGCAGAGTCTCTCCCGCTTCTCCGTGCCATGCCGAGAATAAATGTACAAGAGGACTTTGCTCGCAGGGTATATTATGCATAGATTGCCAATGCATTGTCACCGGCACTGTGACGTCATGTGCAATGGATCTATTAAAAGCCCTTAGCCCTATTTAAATACAGATGTTTTGCTTGGTATTAAAGTATTATTTGCTCATGTGTACGGCAACAACCTCACAGATCATGGCATTTTAGTGACATGATAACTTTGACCCAATTACAGCTCCTTGTAAATCTTCTAGCAAATGCTGGTTTCCATTACATCGGCTTTGCCAGCGTGGGTGGAGCTGAAACTATTGAGCATTTGGTCACATGTGCACGTTTTGAAAGTTGAAATGTTTCAACTTTCAAAGCACGGACATGCCATAACTTTACAACTCGTACTCAATAGTGTAAGCTTTGCCCATGCCACAGAAGAGGGAGGGGTCATTCTTCAAAGCCCCAAAATCCACATTCAACATCTTTCATAACCAACATGTATCCCATCGACCCTATAATCAGAAACAAATTTCTCTCCCCCATCCGGATGGCAGAAATGTCCTCCTTGGGGGGGGGGGGGGGG